CTCGCCCCATCTACCCGCTCGGAAGTCCGAAGTCTAGCCAAGATGACTAGTGAGCTGCCGACAGCAGCGGCTGGAGGGGAGGGAGCAGCCCCACGAGGCGGGCCCCGAAGTAACTCCCTGAGTGCCTGGAGCATTTGTCCGCTCCACTTCCAAGGCCCTTCCCCGCCCGCGCCCAGCCTTACAGGGCCTCCGGATTCCGGCTGAGGGAGAGGGAGGGCTGCCCGTCTCCCATCAAGTTGACAACAATTACGAAAGTTTTTAATTAGCTTCTTGTTATCATTCATTTTATTAATTTCCAGAACTCTCAAGCCATGAATTATTCAAAGGGCAAGGCAACCGGAGCGGGGCGGTCGCGCGCCCCCGCCGCACGTTCCCGGCCCGGCTCCGGCAGCGCAGCTCGCCCGCCGCCCCGGAGGGCGTGAGCCGGCCCGGCGCGGGCAGCCGCGGTGGCGCGAAGGTTTGATCAAATATTAAATAACGTAATTATTGCGACAAGGCTTATCTCGCAGGTGGAAAAGAGGCTCCCCGCGAGAATTAGAATTCGGCTGCTATTTTTAAAAAATCAATTAAGCTTTCGGTCTCCTTTGAAACCGCCCGCGAGCTCTACGTGGCTCTCATCTTGGGGCTAAGACTGTGGCGCCAGTAACACCCATAAACAGAACCATGCCAGATAATAATTGTGGTCATCACCTTTATCATCCCGCTGGCCACCAAGGCAATTAGAATGGTGTGGGGAACACTGATTTTTACCAAAGTCAGAACTCAATTCCCACTTCATGGACTAGACTATGAAAGCTCATCCCCAAGAAAGATGGAGCAGGGCTGCTTCACTCAGGGTCGGCGGGAGAGGCCCGGGCGACGCGGCAGAGGGCCATGGGCGGGGGCTGGCCAGGTGAGTCCTGGGGGCTAGGGCGCCGTCTTCTCTTGGCGTGGCTACGTGTGGTAACAGGGCAGACGTAGTCTTAATATCACGAGAAAGTATAAATTGATAGTCATGGCAGTGGGTGCCTACGGTTTATTTATGAGAGTGTAATTGAAGTTGAGAGCAATTTCAGAACACGCATTAAACAAAAATCTACTCAGAAGTTAGTTGATGTGTCTTGAGGGCATCATTTCTTAGACCTAGAGAAGGAGCAGGACCCTGAGCTGGGATTGGGGCAAAGAGAAATTTAAAATGAATGGATGGCATAAACGTGGCAGGAACATTTCATACTTATTTTTCTTTTGCCCATCCTACTCTACGATCGCCTGGATTTCCTGAGAAGCTGAAATACAAACGGAGCACAATTTTCCCACTCTCTCCAACTTACCTTAAGATTATTCTTTTAAAGTACGGGAGCCCCTCATTTTACTTTTTCCACTCACCAACTGGTTTCAGAATCTGCTTAGAGTGTAGTACCTCTTCACAACCAGAAAACTTTGAAAGGCCAAGTACCGCTGAGTGACAAGCCTTTGCACTCTCTTCAGGAGGACGTTTGTTTGCTTGTTTCTTCCTAAATCGACAAAGGTGTGTAGAACAGTCTTATTATTCCTTCCCAAGGTACACAGATTCACTCACCAGAGAGCAAAGCATTTCTGTTTTGCACAGTTTCCTACTACGTAATATAGGAAACTCTGCAAAGCATATGTTTTCTTGATGTTTTATTAACATAATATTGTCTTCTTTTTATTTGGTAAGGATTTTAATACAAAACAAATGCTTAAGTTATTATTACATACATTGGTCATCATTATATAATACAAATGTATTTGCCTGCAACATTTCCGTTTGGAGCAGATTGAAAAAAAAAACAGCCTTCGTAAATCTTTTCATTTGTTCATTCTTGGTTCTCCAACAATGAAATCCGGTCATACTTTCCTATGAAATAACAGTTTGTTGTTTTTTTCTTTACAAATGCATTTTATTAAAAACTTTGATGACATCAAGTCAATAACAACAGAAACAAATCAATTTTGATGGAAGAGATGTATTTTGAAAAATACCTCTAGTGCTTTTTTAAAACATTAACAACTGTTTAAAATCACAGCTTTTTAAATGTACTATTCTTTTTTGAACATCAAGTGTTTTGTTTCACAGATTTGCCGGTGAAATTAAAAAGATTTGGCTAAAATAGGATGATGTCAGAAGATATAATCTCAACTATTCAGAAACTTTGTACATTTGGCATCTGATCTAGTCCGGGGTCACCAATAAATAAAGTATCTCTGGTCTTTCTGAAGCAGTAGGTGGCACACTAAATGTTTCAAATGAACACAGGCATTTGACACGGTGGCTGGACAGATCCGTGGATGATTTTTTATATTTATTAACCTCCAAAGCAAAGTCATTTAGTTACAACATTTTTTAAAGAAATCTTTATAGGCTAGAACAACACATAGAAACCTTCAAATACCTCTTTCCCTGAACCTCAATTTAATTTGGGGGAGGGGGACCTGGTTATTTACTGCCTTCCACCACTTTGAAGTGAGGGCTATGGTGTCAGAGTTTCTGCAGTTTAAAAAAAAAAATGATAAACACAGGCAACTAATATAGAATTCATTTTATTGAGAGCACCGCTTTTCACATGAGTTATCCGAAAGTGAATTCTGATTCAGCAGAAAAATACATCATTCTTCACCCCTTCCTCACTTTATAACCCCCTTTCAATATCCTCCCCTGTATTTGTGGTTGAACTGAATCTCATTTTTTGACCGCCTTTACCAGGACTTGGCCCAGTATAAACAAAAATGCACCCAAATCATAAAACTGCTCTTCTTTCAGTTATGTTTTATTTGTAAGCGTACCGGGACACATCCCCCTGTTGTATTTTGGCGCACAGAAATGGTTCTAATAGAAGTGGGGAGAGGGAAAGGTAATAGAGCAAAGACATAACCAAGGAGAAAGCTCAGCAGACATACATGGACAGGTAGATCAGTCCGTGAGACATTTCAGGATTAACACTGGCAGTTTGTAACCACTGTGTGAGTGTGTGCATTAAAGAAAATATTTACAGTAGTCTTCCTTTTTTTTCTCTTCCTCTAAATACAAGAATATGACAAGAATGTTGTGTTTTCCGTGAAAACAGGCAGTAGACTGTGAAATCACACTATCCACAAAACGGTCTATCAGAAAGCTAGCCCAGTTTAGTGCTCAGTTTCAAATGCATAGTATGTTTGCGCTGCAAACAATGATATACAACGTAATTAAATAAATAATGCCTAACCAGAGTGAGACCTAATTGTGTTTCTTTCTGCACCTTTCAGATCATGCATGATTTCAGTCTTGTTAAATGGCAGAGTTTTCCTTTTCTCATTTGTTTTCAATTTTTTAGTTATTAAAAGATGGTAATAAACCATCTCCACACGAGATCAAAAGAGTATCTTGTGCACCAAGCAGGCATTTTACCTAACCACCTTCAACTCTTTTTTTTTTTTTTTATCCATCAGTAGTTCATAAGAGTACCTTGATTATTACTATGAAATACTATACAAGATTTTCTATTTGGGAGACTGATAGTGCAAATTAAAGTTCTTGCTACCCAACATTTATACCCAGCAATAAATTACTTTTGAATAATAATAATAATAATAATAATGAAACACAGTTGTTCTGCTTCCCCCCCAACATGCAGACCCCTTTGAAACAAATGGAGGGCTTTAAACCTGTCTTCCTCTCTTCTGGGATTTAGTTAATTTTTCTCCCAGCCAAGTCCTGCTCCAACTGAAAGCAGAAAGTTTCCAATATTTCAACGATTTCATGTTCTTCAAGAGAGAAAGAAAGGGTACCTAGAAGAGCAAGATGAGTCTTGTTCTGGAGAGAAAATGGGGCACAGTATCTCTCCTAGTGTCTTCCACCCCATCAGTGTATTTGAATCAACAGGGGGAAAAATCAGTAGGTAGTTTAGAATAAACCACACTCAGAAAAATAAATGAAAGGTCACGCAAGTTCTATGGGGAGGGAGGGGGAGCTTATTTTGAAATAATTTTTCCGGATCTTAGATATATGAGCAAAAATGAAAAGAGAAAAACCTTGTTAAATTGTTTTATTTTCCTAGAACAAAGTATTTATTTCAGAGCCCCTAAATTCTGCTTTTTAGTCTCAGCTCAAAGACTGTGTGTCTCTCTCTCCCTAAACATCCCCACCAGGAGAGTGACCAGGCCACAGCAGTAGAGGCCAGATCCCCTGAAAACTTGGGACTCCTGAATAGCCTCCCTCTCCTTTAGCCCACCCCTCACTTTCTGGCCAAGGAGAGCAGCTATCGGAGTCTCATTGGAACGGAGAAAATAAAGAGAACACGGATGGGGCGGAGGTGAGACTTGGGGGGAGAAAGTAAACACAGAGACAGAACAACTAGCTTCGCTACCCAGAATTTCACCTTCTGGTTTGTTTGGTTTTTCATTTTTAACTCAGTTCATGTATGTAGGGTTGGGGTGGGTGGTAATAATAGTGGTGCTCTTTTTTTTTCCTCTTCCTTAGGGGGTAATGAAGCTGCAGAATACGGCTCCCCAGAGTTAAGTTTCTAAAGCATTTTTATCTTTTTGTTCTGTTTTGTTTTAGTTTGTCTTTGTCTGGTTTTTGGTGGTTGGTAGGTTTGTTTTTGTACATAGTCCCTTGGTCCCCAGGAGATTTTGACAAGTGTCTCTGGTCAAAACAGTCCATTTCCCTACTCTTCCCAAGTCTCCCCCCCCCCCCCAACCCCCAGAACCAATCTGCTCCTCAGAACCCCTCCTCCAGTCTCTGCTTTCCTTCCCCTCATCTCCCCACTCACCCAAATATTCCCCCTTTCTCCCCAGCCTGGCTCTCCGGTGTCCACACCCCGCACCGCAGTCCTCTTTTCTGGGGAGGTTAGTAAAGGGCAGGGAGAGCAGAGAGGGGGTAGAGGAGAGTGCGCTGGGAGGGACTCCCCAAATGCAAGCAAGATAACGGACACTCCAAATCTAGGGGAAACAGGCTCAGGGAAAGGCCCCGAAAAGCCCCTTCAGCTCCCCGCTCTGCCCCGCCCTGCACCTCCCACTCCCCCTCAGTAAGTGGCGGAGAATTTCATCCGCTTCTGCTTCTGTCTCTGGTTGCAAAACCACACCCGCACCACGTTCTTTTTGAGGTCCAGTTTCTCGGCGATGGCGGCGATCTTCTCAGAGGATGGCCGGGGTTGTACGGCGAAGTAGGCCTCGAGGGAGCGCTTCTCCGGCGCTGCGATGGAAGTCCGCTTGCGCTTCTTCTCGCCGCCGTTGAAGAGCTCGGGCTTGTTCATTTTCTCGCGCTGCGCGCCCTCGGCCTCCTCGAGCCACGCCTGCAGGATGGGCTTGAGCGCGATCATGTTGTTGTGCGAGAGCGTGAGCGACTCAAACCTGCAGATGGTGCTCTGGCTGAGCGAGCCCACGCCCGGGATCTTGAGGTTGGCCAGCGCCGAGCCCACGTCGGCCTGCGTCACGCCCAGCTTGATGCGCCTCTGCTTGAAGCGCTCGGCGAACGCCTCGAGCTCGCGCGGGTCCGTGTCCGAGTCGCAGATGGACGCCAGGCCCGCCGCGCCCACCACCGCCGCAGCCGCTGAGGCCGCCGCCACCTGCCCGGCCGCCGCCGCCGCCGCCGCCGCCGC